CCATGTGTACACACAGGTATGTACAAGGACGCGTATACATAGTACCTAGTGTACACTGCCCCCCACCCCCACCGTGTGTATAGTGTACATGCTCATTGCCAACCTGGCCATGGGCACACAGGTAAAGAGGGTTTATGTAAAGTGGGTGCAGATGACGTAGATCGAGTGAGGGGAATCCGGGTGAGGGATTCCAGGTAAAGGGGTCCTAGGTGAGGAGTTGCTGTGGCAGAAGCCAGGTGAGGTGACCCGGCTGAGCCGTGTGACCTCGGGTGGGTGACCCAGGTGACCCAGCTGAGGCGGGTGACGCAACTCTGGCGAGAGGACCGAGGGAGCCATGGGGAAGCAGGAAGTGGATACGAGTGAGCGTGGGGGGACGAGGCGTGAGGGTCAAGGGGACCCACGTGAAGGGGTCAAGGGGACCCACGTTGTGTGCCATTGTAACTGGTTCTGCCCCCTACCCCCTTCATACCCCCCCACACCTTTCTTCCCATGTCTCCCCGGATATCATAGTTCTTGGGCCACATCAATAACAGCTGCAGCAGCTTCTCCTTCATAAGCGAGAGGGGGTGATAGGCCCCATTCGAGGGCCTCCAGTTGAGGGGGGTTCAGGGTATGTGGAAGGTGGTGGGGGGCGCTGGAAATACACATGACTGGTGAGGGGACGAGGCTGCTGGGGTATAGGTGAGGAGGAAAGGGGGGCTCCGAACAAGAAACGAAAACGGCGGCGGTGGTGGTCCAAGTTGAGTGACATCCCCCACCCACCTCTCCCCCACATGGGTGCCCCCCCCCCCCCATGGGTGCCCCCCCCGCCACATCCCCTCACCTCGCGATCCTTGAGGCCCAGCAGCAGCACCTCCTCCATGAGCGTGAGGCGCGTCTCTTTGCTGTCGCCTTTGTCGTCGGCGTCGCGCGCCCCGCCGCCGCCGCCGCCGAGCTGCTCGCCGCCGGCGCCCGTCAGCTCGTCGGGGCCCTCGTCGCCCGACTCGCCGCCGCCGCCGCCCGCCGAGGAGGAGGCCGCGGCCGCCGAGCGCCTCTGCACGAGCCCCGAGCTGCGCTGCGTGAGCGTGGTCGTCATGGCCGCGACGAGATGGGAGACGGGACGGAGAGAGGGTGGGAGGAGAGAATGAGGCGATACGATGGAGGGTGGACGAGGTGGACGAGGACGAGGTGGACGAGGACGAGGTGGACGGCGCGGGCGGCGGAGGAGACTCGAGGAGCCGCGGCTCAGCGGCCCGACAACAACATGGCGGCCGTGACGTCACGCGGGATGTGGCAGCAGCGGCGGCGTCGTCCAGGCGGGGCAGCGGCTCTGCCGAGCGAGTCGATCCGGGCCCCCCGCCTGCTCACCCCCCCCCCCACTCACACGCCCCGCCGTCTCCGAGAATCGGGGATCGACCCGATCGGCAATCTCCCCATTGCTTCTGCGGCCTGGCAGCGGGGGGAGGGGGAAGTGTGTGTGTCTGTGTGGGTGTCTGTCTGTGTGTGTCTGCGTGTGTGTGTTTCTGTGTGTGTCTGTGTGGGTGTCTGTCTGTGTGTGTGTCTGTCTGTGTGTGTCTGTCTGCCCGCTCACGGCCAACACCGGTGACGATTATCTGAACCGTTCCTGGGCCTCCCCGAGGTTGACTCAGCCTCAAATGAGTACCTGGTGCGGTGTGTAAACATCGCCACCGGGGATACAAAGGCGTCCGAGCGTGGTGTTGGCCACGCACCCCCTCGTGTGCCGTGCCGGCCTCTATAGGTGCTCGCTAGCAGCACTTGCCACAACAGTCTGGTCAGGCTATATGTCTTGATAAGCGACGTTTCGGGCAATGGCCCCTTCGCATTTGCGCACTGACTGAGTGCAGCCACTCACCCAAAAGACAGAGACCCCCCCCCCCTCCTCCGTATAGCCTTAACAGACTGTGAGGGCAAGTGCTGTTAGCGAGCACCTATGAAAGCCGGAATGGCACACGAGGGGGTGGGTGGCCAACACCACGCTCGGACGCCTTTGTGTCCCTAGCGGCGATGTTTACACACCGCACCAGGTACTCATTTTGAGGCTGAGTGTTGGTGGCCGTGAGCGGGAGTCGAACTCGGATCCACCCACTCACTCACCTACTCAGAACACTCACTGGCTCGCTCAACCACTCACTCACCCACTCACTCACCCACTCACTCACCCACCCACCCACTCACCCACCCATCCAACCAACCACCCACCCACCCACTCACCCACCCACTCACCACCCACTCACTCACCACCCACTCACCCACTCACTCACCCATCCACTCACTCACCCACCCACTCACCACCCACTCACTCACCCACCCACTCACCACCCACCCACTCACCACCCACCCACTCACCCACTCACCACCCACCCACTCACCCACTCACCACCCACCCACTCACCACCCACCCACTCACCACCCACTCACTCACCTATCCACTCACCCACCCACCCACTCACCTATCCACTCACCCACCCACCCACTCACCCACTCACCCACTCACTCACTCACTCACCCATCCACTCACCCACCCACTCACCACCCAGCCACTCACCACCCACCCACTCACCACTCACCCACCCACCCACTCACCACTCACCCACCCACCCACTCAGCCACTCACTCACCCATCCACTCACTCACCCACCCACCCACCCACTCACCCACCCACCCACCCACTCCCCCACCCACTCACCCACCCACCCACCCACTCCCCCACCCACTCACCCACCCACTCACCCACCTATCTCACTCATCCACTCACCCACCCACTCACCACCTACTCACTCACCCACCCACCCACTCACCCACCCACTCACCCACCCACTCACCCACTCACCACCCACTCACTCATCCACTCACCCACCCACCCACTCACCACCCACTCGCTCACCCACCCGCCCACCCACCCACCCGCCCACCCACCCACCCCACCCACTCACTACACCCACTCACTCACCCACCCGCCCACCCACTCACCCACTCACTCATCCACTCACCCACCCACTCACCACCCACTCACTCACCCACCCACCCACTCACCACCCACCCACTCACCCACCTACTCACCCACCCACTCACCACCCACCCACCCACTCACCCACCCACTCACCCACCCACCCACCCACTCACCCACCCACCCACTCACCCACCCACTCACCCTTGCAAATGAGACCAATGCTGGTCTCTTGAGGTCTCCGCTGGTCACACGAACTCAACTCAACCCCAGAAACATCCGCGACGTTGTCCCCGCGGGCTCTCCACGTCACACCCCAGACAGGTCGACTTCTCCTGCACAGCAGGTTCACTTACACGGTAGTATTTACTTTGTAATCCTTTGAGCTTATTCAGTTAATCTTGGCTATTATTGAAAGGTGTGTCTCTTACTATTAAACTAGTTTTAGTTTTACCTAGTAAGCCCCCACTGAGCTCTTTCTCAGAAGCAACCGGGCCACAAACGATAGCTCAACGAAGTGGCGTATCCCGTTGAAATGTATAGCAGGCAAATACTCTGAAAGCATGTGTATTCTAAACGTGGAAAGAAAAAAACCCCGCAGCACCTGAAGAAAATCTACGCTACGCGACCACGGGGAGAGAGAGAGAGAGAAACACGCAGACTCTAAATACAGCAGCAGGCATCGTCAGGGTCGGGATCGAACCCACGACCTCCTGCCTAGCAGGCGAGGTAGTCAACATCTCCTAGCCACCGTGATGATGATGAGAGAGAGAGACACGCAGACTCTAAATACAGTAGCAGGCATCGTCAGGGTCGGGATCGAACCCACGACCTCCTGCCTAGCAGGCAAGGTAGCTAACATCTCCTAGTCACCGTGATGATGATGAGAGAGAGAGACACGCAGACTCTAAATACAGCAGCAGGCATCGTCAGGGTCGGGATCGAACCCACGACCTCCTGCGTACCAGGCAAGGTAGTTAACATCTCCTAGCCACCGTGATGATGATTAGAGACACGCAGACTCAAAATATACAGCAGGCGTCAGGGTCGGGATCGAACCCACGACTTCCTGCGTACCAGGCGAGGTAGTTAACATCTAGCCACCTTGATGATGATGAGAGACACGCAAACTCACAATAAACAGCAGGCGTCAGGGTCGAGATCGAACCCACGACCTCCTGCATAGCAGGCGAGGGAGTTAACATCTAGCCGCCTTGATGATGATGAGAGACACGCAAACTCAAAATAGACAGCAGGCGTCAGGGTCGGGATCGAACCCACGACCTCCTGCATAGCAGGCGAGGTAGTTAACATCTAGCCACCTTGATGATGATGAGAGACACGCAAACTCAAAATAGACAGCAGGCGTCAGGGTCGGGATCGAACCCACGACCTCCTGCGTACCAGGCGAGGTAGTTAACATCTAGCCACCTTGATGATGATGAGAGACACGCAAACTCAAAATAGACAGCAGGCGTCAGGGTCGGGATCGAACCCACGACCTCCTGCATAGCAGGCGAGGTAGTTAACATCTAGCCACCTTGATGATGATGAGAGACACGCAAACTCAAAATAGACAGCAGGCGTCAGGGTCGGGATCGAACCCACGACCTCCTGCATAGCAGGCGAGGTAGTTAACATCTCCTAGCCACCGTGGGGACCGACTCGGGTTGCCCGAGTCTGGAGGAGACCCTCTCATGCGAGCACTGTGCCTGCCTATTTACAAAACTATTGATCGGGAAACACGTTTCGAGTGGTTCTCATCAGCCCCCCTTCCCCCCTTTGTGTAAACAAACAAGGGCTGTCTCCAGCTCTTCTTGTCCACTGTGTCTGGTATCACTATTTTATGTGCCGTGAAGAAGGGCCATTGCCCGAAACGTCACCAATGTTTCCTTTTAAGGCCACACACATGCGGTGTTATCGGCAGGCACCGTGTTGAGTTTTGTTTGGTGTTTATTGCATAAACCACGAGTATAAACAACAGCAGCAGCAGCACACACACGAACTCGTGTACACAAAGCACTCGGCTCTTGTACTCGATGCAAAACAACCATCGGTACTTCCTGAACAACTGCATTGTGGCCCTCTTGTCTTATAAACAATGTATTTATTTATTCAGGAAGACCACCCTGAGTCAAAGGACTCCTTTTAAGGAGGATCCTGAATTGAGTTTGTATTTTAAGTTGTGTTCAGCCAACCAATGACGAGTTGTGTTTATCATTCACGTGGGGGGAGGTAGGAGCCCGGAGCACCCGGAGAAAAACCAGGGCTTGGGCGAGGGGGCAACGCTCTATCCCCGTAGGGATTGAAACAGATGGCGATTAGTCCCACTTGCTGTCCCGCTGTCTGCTGGCGAGCCAGGGTATGGAACCTCCTCGACGCCCACCCACGGGGAGGGAGTTTCCCACCATCTGTGTGTGATCCACCAACCCTCGACGTCGCCTCCACAGTGCTGGGTCACAGGCCACGTGCAGCATGGCCACCACCGCTCGCCCGTGCGCACACGACTCTGTGTTGTGCTGGGATACTCATCCCAGCAGCGTGCGCCGTGACGGTGTGGTGGGGCTTTCTCGTCAATGCAGATGTTGTGATTGTTGTTGGCTGTCATCAAGCTCATGGGTCTCAGAGTGGATGTGGGCACTCTAAACGGACAGGACACGGTTGCCAGAGGGAGACTTTGCAGCAGTGAGGATTGGTGACTGTACCGTGCTGATGAGTCCTGGTGATGATGAAACCGGTCCACTGCGTCACCTGCTGCTGTTGCTGTCAGTCAGTCACATTCGCTCACATTTATTGTGGTGGAGACCTAGCAAGATGCCTACAATGCAGTTCTTGAGGCACTGCTGATGGGGTTGTTATTGTTCATAGAGCACAAACGCGCGAGTCGTTGTACACTTTTCCCGTGTGCTGTTCACAGGCAGCAGGCAAGCGGGTTTCCACCCTGAGTCACATTTAAGACATTTTTTGGCAAGCTCCTTTTATAGATTTTTATTGATATCATAAGCCGTAGATACGACGTTGTCTTTTAACCCACATGCGAATCAAACAGCTTTACATATTAAGTCCCTAAATCTGATGTCTACCATCATCACATCAGTAGCTGACGCGGGCAATATCTTTTTTCAGTAGGCTGACTAATCCCTGACTTTTAGACGACATCTCCTGAGGGCACAGAGGACGGCTCCTCCCAACCAAGAGGAACCCCCATTCCAGAAGACATTCTTCTGGACGTCTTTTAACGTGAGCTTTACCCAGAGACTTGCCTGGAACTCTCTATAGACCTACCTATACCTACACAGAGACCTGTCTAAAACTACCTGGGTTTTCACCTGGAGCTGCCTGCCCTGGGGGGGGGGGGGGGGGTAGCTACCGTGAGGTGAAGCCTCGTCCTTTGCCTGGACTCGTCTCTGCAGGCCCCGTATGACCTAGCCTAGCCTAGTCCAGTGTCCGACCCCGTCCTCCGCCTAGCAGCCTGTATCTTGCATGCGCCCAGGGCACACCAAACGCCTCGGAGCAGGGGTTTCCCGAGTCTGGAGGAGACCCTCTAATGGTAGCCATTGGGAACAAGAATAAGACCCTTCCATGATTCTACAGAGCGGTGGGCAAAGGTACTTGAAGGCAACTTATTAAGGACGTCAAGATGCCCAGCGCCATCCCTTGTCTGTGTTTGGTTCCACTGGGTTGTTATAATTCTAGGCCTCACGCTCCACAGACAGCAGCCATCATTCCACGTTCATTTTGTACATGAATGTAGCATTGTTACCCTTGAGCATTCAGTTTCTCTCATTTGCTTTGGTCTGTCCTGGTAAGACATGGGGAATAGGCGAGATACGAGAGAGGTGAGAGAGGTGAGGAATCAAGTGAGGCACAGGAGAGCGTTGAGGTGAGGGACCAGGTGAGGCCATACATGGGAGGTGAGGCAACAGGTGATGGACTAGGTGAGGAGTATGGAACAGGCGAGAGATGGGGCATCGGGTGAAGCCACAGGTGAGAATTAAGGTGTGGAACCAGGTGAGATGCGTGGGGGTGAGGCACCAGGTGAGGAGAAACAGGTGAGACACAGGTGAGGCAAAGGTAAGGAGTGAGAGACCAGGTAAGGCGGCAGCATCAGAACACGAATCTGGAATCTCATCCTAGGCTCCGTGACGTCATAACTAATCACCATGTTACATCATCACCATGAACATCTTTACGATTATCATCATCAGTAATATTATCATGTTTAACGTCATAATATTCGCGTTAAACATCAACATCAGCGGCACGTTGAAGTCGGACACGGCCGGCACGCGTGGTCAATTGGTACGCTGCATTAATTAACTCGGATGTCGCAACTCCGTGACGTCACCCGTGTTATTTGCGGGGCGTGGGGAGAGGTGTCACCCCCCCCCCAAACACCTCCACCACCGCCCTGATGAAGGGCTACCACGTGGGGGTGGGCGAGGGGGGGTGTCAGTGTACGGGCCCCGAGGGCGACTTGAGCGCGTGGTAGCCCAGACTCCCGCCCCCCCCAGAGCACGTGACGCCCTCCAGAGGGGTCGAGCAGGGGGGGTCCTCCACCCCTCCTCCCACAGCGGAGCCCCCCTTCCCGGAGCAACCGCAGAGCGAGGAACTTGAGGCGGCGGCGACTGGCAGAAGGAGCAGGGGTGGGGGGGGGGGAGATGTCACGTGAACGGGTGTCATGTAGTCATGGCTTTGTCATGAAGGTATGGAGTTGTGTGATGAGGTGTATGATGAGGTGTGAGTGTGTGACGAGGTGTGAGTGCGGTTAGCGTGCTGCGCTGCGAACCGGGCGACCCGAGTTCGATTCCCGCTCACGGCCGACATCATTTGCGATCATCTGAGTCGATCCTGGGCCTCCCCTAGATCGACTCAGCCTCAAATGAGTACCTAGTATGGTGTGTAAACATCGCCACTGGGGAGACATAGGCGGCCGGGCATGGTTCTATCCACCCACCCCCTCGTGTGCCATTCTGGCCTTCATAGTTGCTCGCTAACAGCACTTGTCCCAACAGTCTGTTAAGGCTATACGGGTGATCTTTGTCTTTGTAATGAAGTGTGAGTGATGAGGTGAGGTCCTCGTCCTCACCAAGTGTAGAGGAACACGGAGGCCGTGATGAGGGTCAGGAAGCCAAGGAACGTGGCGAGGATGAAGAGGTTGGAGCAGAGGAGTTTAGTACACTTTGGAGGACCTGCCACACCAGGCCACACCATACCAACCACACTTTACAAACCACACCGCACCAACCACAACTCATCAACCACATCATCCACACCCATGATGACGATGGTGACGATAATGGTGATGATGATGGAGATGGAGATGCTGATGGTGACGATGACAGTGATGATGCTGATTGTGACGATGATGATAGTCACAATGATGATAGTAACGATGATCAAATATGTTACCTGTTGTTAAGCACTCCCCCCACTCTCCGCTGGGCGATGCGGTTAATATCCCGGCCGTCGTCACATTTTCTGAGGTGGTGGTTTCTGTGCCACCACACGCAACCACACACAACCTTACACAACCACATGCAACCTCATACAACTACATGCAACCACATGCAACTTTACAAAACTGAACTCAACCACAGACAACGATTCATCCATATACCCTGAGCCTTCACTCAACAAACTCACTCACCCACTCACCACACTGCAGGTAACATCACTTCTCTCTCCGTTTCTTCCCTTCACTGCTTCACGTTGGAATTTCCTCCCTTCATCTCTTCCACCCCACAAGTTGTTGTAATAACCTCGCTCAACGCTGTCTGTTGCTGGCCACGTACGTGCTCGGCAACTTTGATAAAAATAAAAATCCGTAGCACCACCACCAGATGGCGCACAGCTCACAGAGAAGGCCCTTGCCGATAACATCTGGCAGTCCACCAGCACTGGTTCCGATGTGAGCCCGGCTTTGCTGATGAGACACTGAACCTGGAAACCAGTCCAGAATTTGCCTGTATGTAGTCCCTCGGTTAACGTTTTTAATCCGTTCCACGAAAACTACTGCTCACCGAAATAACGGTTAATCCAATATGGGAGTCTGCACAACATAACTGTTTCCACTGCCAAAACAGAAAACGTAATGTAAACAAAGCCAGTCGAGGTCTGAACGGGCACAATGGGCGTCGCTGATTGGCTGAGGCATCCTCAGCCCACGTACGAGCGCTCGGATTGTAAATTGGCGCCCGCGTGCATAACGTAAACACGTTACCGCTAGACAAATGTTACGTTAGTCGAAACCATGGGGTCCTATGGGAAGCAAAACGTGAACCGGAAAAACCGTTAACCGATGTCCCTGTTAACCGAGGGAACTCCTATATTGCACCGATACTTCTGCGATTATGGAATTGCAGTAGGGAGGCAGTGTGGCTGATAGGATGGGTAAAAACTTGATTCATGGATTCAGATAAACTCTTGACTCTCACTAAAACACGCAGTGGATCGTGCATTTGAGAATCTAGGGAGACGAAGGTGGTCGGGTGTGGTGCCTGCCACACCGCCCCCTCGTGCGCCATCCTGGCCTTCATCGGTGCTCGCGCACAGCATTTGCCTCAAACAGCTGTGTAGACCACACGGGTGATCTTTGTATCGGTGTGTTTTGTGGTAGTGCTGTCATAATAGTGGCCCGAGTTCGATTCCTGGCCATGGCTATTGATAATGATCTGAACCAGCCATAGGCCTCGCCTAAGTCGAATCGGCCTTCGTAGGTGCTGCTCGCAAACAGAACTTGTCCCCACAGCCTGTGCAGGCTACACCGGAGACCTTTATATTCTAATCTAATCTCTTACGTCTTTACGGCGTGGCCGAAAGGTTCCAGCTATTCGCAGAGCCTGACATTATGTCTAAAGCATTCCAAGGGCGCCCCAGTGGCAGCTAAACCTGTGCAGCACAACCGTCATCGCTGTGCAGTTGATGCCGAGGCGTGCGATACCAATTCAGAGATACTCTTGGACTTTGTACAAACTCTTCGACTTTGTACAAATTCCGATTTGTGACGCTCTCGGGAACGACGTCACGGGATCTTTAACGCCCCCGCAAGCGAAGAGTGGCAAGTATTAACGTCACGGTCAACACACGGACTCGAGTATTAATCGGGGTGGCCTGCCAAATTTACAAGCGCGGCGGCGCAGATGAGCGTCTCCACCGGGACAGAACTGACCGACCCAGGGGCTCCCGGCACCGCTCCACTCGCCCCACCCGCTCCACTCGCTCCACTCGCCCACGTAGCGGTCGCGCGCCGCCACCTCGACGAGCAGCGGCGCGCCGGGCCGAGCGTCCTTCACCAGGAAGCGCGGCTCGTCCACCCCGTCGTCCAGCTGGGGCCGCGTAGGAGGGGCAGCGGGGGCAGGCACCGCACAGGGAAGACACGCGGAGACACGCGGTAAGACGCGGTGACGCGCAGAGTGGCGAACTGAACGCAGAGACCCGTAGAGTCACGGAGAAACATGCAGAGAGACACAGATACGTGGGCATTTAGAAACGTAGGGAGACGTGCTGACACACAGAGACACTGACACGCACAGACATTTTCCAATCCACTGCGGGATGCAGGCTTTCCTACCCAGTGCAGGGCTTCCTTTCTCTTTCCCTATCCCTCC